TGGTTGCGTTGTATGCTAGCGCCGCTTGTGGTAAAAGCTGTACCCAGTTGTTTTGTTCATCGTTGACATATATTCGCAAATATTGTTCCAATATTTGGTTTACCCGCTCGGTCTGGCCGTCGCTTTGTGGATGATATGCTGTTGACATTCCCTGAGTTATTTGTAACACTTGGCATAATTCTCTCCAGAAATGAGATGTGAATATCTTATCTCGGTCAGAGATAATCTTCTCTGGTATGCCAAATTTCCCTACTTCTTTTAAGAAAACTTTTGCTAGGTAAGAAGCAGTAAATTGCCGAGGAATCGGGACAAATATCGCATATTTTGTCAACCGATCAACAGTAACCATAATGTTTTCGTGTTCCACATTATTCTCGTCCTTAGAAGGTGGCAAAGGTCCGATGAAGTCTATTGACACTTCCTGCCAAGACTTTTCCGGTGCTCGGTTTGGTTGGAGTAATCCATAAGGTTTATGTCGTTCGTACTTGGCTTTCTTGCACAAATGGCAAGCCCTCACCCAAGTAAAAACCTTTTGCCGCATCCTGGGAAAGTAATAGTTTCGTCGTAATCTTTCCAAGACCTCTTCTGCTTTGGCATGTCCTTGCAAAGGTGGTTCATGATACTTAAGTGTCCATTCCTTCTCGAGATTCGGAGGTAAGATAATTTTCCCTTCATGCATATAGACTTGCAGCTTATCGTTGTAGTCCATATGTTGTTTAATGAAGTCCCTTTTCGATTGTTCGGTTCGAATCCTTTGAATCTCAGGTATGTTGATTTTCGCCAAAGATGCTACTTGGTGTATCATCGAGTCTCCTTCTTGCCGCAACAGAGCATGTTTAACCTCCATTCCTCGGTCATAGTCGGTTCTTCTACTTAATGCATCCGCGTTAGCATTAAGTTTCCCACTCCGATGTTTGATCTCAAAGTTGAATGACGATAGTTCGTATGACCATCTTAGCTGTCGTCCATTCAACACTTTGGTAGTGGTGAAGTTTCGGAGATTCTGGTGATCTGACAAGACTAAGAACATGTCCTTGGTGCCTTCTAAGTAGTGTCGCCAGTGTTTGAGCGCGTCAACGATTGCTAGCAGTTCCTGATCCGATGTGGAATATCTAGTTTCCGCATCAGTAAACTTTCTTGAGTGATAGGCTACTGGTCGCCATAGCCCATCTTCGTCCTGTTGACTTAGGACCGCTCCGAGAGCATATTTGGAAGCATCTGTCTCGACTCTTATCGGCTTTTTCTCGTCGAACAATTGTAGTACCGGCGTAGTCGTGACCAATTTCTTAAGCTCGTCAAAGGCCTTTTGAGCATCCTCGGTCCACTGAAACTCCTGGGAAGTGACGCCAGCGTTTTCCCTTTTCCTGGTGAGTTCAGTAAGTGGTACTGCAATCCTTGAATATCCAGGGATAAACTGTCGATAATAATTCGTAAATCCTAAAAATGCTTGAACTTGCTTAACAGTTCGCGGTTCAGGCCATTCTTTAACTCTTTCGACCTTTTCTGGATTTACTTCCAATCCCTTTTCAGATATAATCAGTCCAATAAACTCGATTCTCTGTTTATGGAACTCGCATTTGGATGGTTTAAGCCGCAAATTATGTTTCTTTAGCGCTTTCAAGACCTTTCGGACGTGTTCGACGTGTTCTTCAAGCGTCCGGGAGTATACTAATATGTCGTCCATATAGACCTCAACATACTTGTCCAAGTGTTCCCGCAACACATGGTTCATGTATGCTTGCATGGTAGCTGGGGCATTGGTGAGCCCAAATGGCATCACCCTGTACTGATAGTGCCCTCGATGAGTGCCAAACGCTGTCTTGTACTCATCGCCCTGCTTAATCCGAATTCGATGGAATGCTTCCGGTATATCAAACTTCGTGAACCATCGAGCTCCTTGGAGTCGGTCTCGTAACTCCTGGATTAACGGCAGCGTCATGCCATTCTTCACCGTGATACTGTTCAGGTGTCTGTAATCCACACAAAGTCGTAGTCCGCCGTCGGGTTTAGGTACATAAAATACCGGATATCTCGCGGGAGACTTGGACTCTTCAATAAAACCTCGCCTTAGGTTTTCGTCCAAGTACTTATCTAGTGCTTCTCTTTGGTCTGCCCTGAGTGGGTAGATACCAAACCTCTTTAGTTGGGATCCCTCTTTTAGCACTATTTCGTGATCGAACGGCTGGTGCGGTGGCAAGGCTTCTTCTGGAGCCTCCTTCTCAAAAAGTTCCGCAAATTCCTTATACTCCGGAGGAATTTGGAACGCTGTCTTCTGCTCCTCTTGGAGCTGACAAACAGCTACCGCCTCTACGTCTTGTGTACTCTGCCGCATGAGCTTTTTCGTCTGCCCTCCAGTGCGCTTTCTGGCCTGGGCAGGACATCGATCCTTAACCAGAGACACAGTTAAGGTTGACCAGTCGATGTGCGGTCTTTCGTCCTGGAGCCATGACAATCCGAGGATGATATCCGAATCCCCAATGTTAGTGACATCAAACGTCCTACTAACCTTTTTGCCTAACATTGTCATGTCGACGGTTGTCTCGTACTCAACCATGCCTTGATCTGAAGCAATCGGGGTTCCGTCAGCAGTGATAAGTGGATATGGATCCTTTTTCTTGTTCAAAGGTAAATTCCATTCTCTTGCGTACCGACTGCTCAAGAAGTCTGCCGTAGCTCCTGAGTCAATCATGGCCATGGTAGAGTTGCCTGCAATCTCAACTTCTACCATCAGCTTGCTCTCCCCTAACTTGCTGAGGCTTCGAGGTTCCTTCCAAGAGTCAACTATTACGCCCCTTAATAGTCGACCTCCTCGTTTCCCGAGAAGTAAGGGTGCTCGCTTTCACCGTCATCAAGCGTTTCTTCGCCTGACTCCCATTCCTCGGAACTTCCATCCGGGTTGGACATTATCTTGGTTACTTGCAGGTTCTGTCGATATAACTTCTGCGGATCTTCAGAGTCTGGATCTGCGTTCATCTGAAGTCCAATTCGATACGGGTCCTTAGGCAAAACCCATGTAATAGCCCTTCTTGTTGAATCATCTGTCATGTAGATGAGCTTCATGATGCATTTATAGATATTTTCCATTATTTCATTCTCTTCGGGGTCAAGATTTCCAATCGCACTTTGGATTCCTTGTTGCGATGGTCCAACATCAATCGATATGTGGTTGTCGTCTATGGTTCCCCATTGCATCACTGGTATGCGGTGTCTCGGACATTGACAACTCCAAGCTGTGCAAAGATTGACTGGAAGATGCTCGTGGTGTACGTGACGATCGTTACCCTGGATACCCTCGATCTGGAGTATTCGTCGCACCTGTGTGAAAGAAACTTTAGGTGGTCCATAAGGATATTCCCATGATGGTTCTCCTGGATCCTTATTCTCACTATGCTCCCAGAATCCACAATCTTGGACTTTGCAATGACTAATTGGTAGTGCCCAATGGAACTTATGAGCCATGTTTGTCTGAACATCAGAATGCCGTTCCAAGATTCTGTGAATCATAGTCTCATCCCATGGTCCTGTATTTTGGTTTGGTCCCCATCGGTAAGTATTATGAGAGCCTTTCTTGAGCATAGCAATCTTCCGTACTTGCACGCCTGTTCCCAGAGTCTTGATTGACTGTTTCTTAAGCTTTGAACAATCTCGAGCAAAATGTCCTGGTTAGCCACACTTAAAACAATTTCCCGTGTTTTTCTTGAAATTCTTGGGCTTTCTCGGGGCTTGATCGCCTTTCTGGAGTTTATCTATCTCCATAGGCTGCGGTCCGTAGTAATCGGTAGAGCGTCGTGGTCTCCCATGATTGGATTGGTATTTGGGCGTCTTTCCTTGCTTATCGAGCTTGTTTTCAAATAGGATGGAATCAATCCTAATCGCTGATTTGATAAGTTCTGTAAGGGTGGATATCTCCTTCTCCCTAAGCCGTAACTGGGCTTTGACTTCTGGCTTAAGTCCTGCGAAAAACTTGGTGCGAAGTGCATCGTCGTTCCATTTCAAAATTGCCGCCCATTTCTCGAATTCGACCGCGTAGGAACTCGCGTCTGACTTCTGGCGTAGTTCCAATAATTTCTTCTCAGCTAAGTGAGCCTCGTCAACTCGCTGAAAGTACTGATCCATTTCTCCCATGAATACTGAATAACTCTGGAAGATTCTCTTGACATCGTGCGGAACATCTCCTTTCTTCAGGATGTATTGATCAACTCGCCTTTGGATCCAAGTATATGCGTTTCCCCTTAGGTAAGAAACAGCACACATAACTTTCTTTTCTTCAGTGTCAAGCTTATCCTGGTTCCAATAAATGTAGATTCCAAGCTGAGACCTGAAGGCTTCATATTTGGATCGTTCCCCTTCAAAAGGTTCAGGTGGATTGACTTTTGGTCAAGCCATATCGTCGTCAAAGAGATTCTCGCTTCCAGAATCGGAGTTCGAGTCGGATGAATCAGAGTCGTCAAACAATTGAGCGTCTGGTAAGACTTCCGGATCTCTTGGTGGTGGAGGTGGTGGAGGTACTGCTGTTCTGTGTGTCGATGGCCCAGCAGCACTGGTACTTGAAGTAACCTCAACCTTCTTCTTTGGTGGACCAGACTGTTGTTGGCTTCCGCTACTTCTCTTAGAGACAGTAGACATAAGATATTGTTCCTTGCCCTATCCAATGATTCGGTGATTTAACTTTTGTTAGGAACACTTTCCCAATACCGACTAGCTTCACTAATGTAAGCCACTTCGGAAGGGTTTAGCTTCCTAGAGCAGAGGAACAATGTATAACAAGAGCTTATTGTGGAAGGAATACAATAAGATAGTTATGTTTATGACTTAGAGTAGTCTGAGCTTCAAGAGTATGAGAATGTATTCAAACTAACTACTAGCTACGCTAGACAGTTGAATTAC